AGAGAATTTAAAATAAACTCGCAATAGCAGACTACAGAATATCATTATGATGTGGTTTGTACCCACTCATATGAAACCAAGCAAAGAATTTCTATTTAAGAAAATTTAGATTTCAAATGATATGAACTTAAGCATATGGAGAGGTGTAGTATAAAAAATTTCCATGTAAAAGTGGAAGGTTCAGTGTAGTTTAAACAAAAATTATGAAATGCATTCTCTATGATATTTGCTCAAATTCACTTATAAGAGGATGGCATGAACCAAACCATAGCAACAAAGATGGCGATAAATTGATCACTTGGGACACCTTTGCAATTATTGGAGCATCAGTTGTGAAAATTCTTTTGCATACAGACTTGAAAGCAAGTAGGCAAAGTAGTATTATCTTAAAAAAATAAAACGCAACTGAACTACTCCAACAACTTTTTTTTCTTTTTTTATTCAGACTACTTGACTTTTGACCAATGCTTATAACGGCAATGCCTTCTAGTTTTTAAAAATGACATTGTTCCTTCCTAGTTTACAAAGATGAGCTCGGATCCTAATTTTTTGAGGAATTCAAATCCTTCTATACAGAGTGTAACCTAAATTACTTCACTCGGCACACACATATATATATATATGTAAGTTTTTGGAACTTTATAGTACTTCTTACTACTCAAAATGGTTAATTCATATAGGAGTTAACTAAGTAAATTTGAGCCCTATATATATATATATATATATATATATATATATATATATATATTAATTTTATTCCTTATTGCAAGAGAGTATACAAAAACCCAAAAGTGCAGGTACTAAAATTTATAATCCAATTGCAAGGACCACAATCATTCATTTATCCCTCTACACTATACCTTGAATTTGAGTTAAAACTGGAAATTCAGTCGCGCTTTCATTAAAGGTTCAAGGCATGTATTAGAAATTCAAGTATGTAGTGCATTGCACAAGTGCATATATCATGTTGGTGTCAGTAAAATTCACTGCTCCAGTAACACAAATATATGTCGATTGAAGGATCAAAAGTTGCTTCGGTCTTGTCAATATGAAGACTAAGTAGAATATCAGATTTTGGTTCAGCTTCAATCCATGCGGAATGAAAAAAGGGATGACGAGGGCTTTCTGGTTGGGTCTTCAATGGAGTTTTAGTTCAGTTCAAACAGCTTCGGTTCCGAGATTGCTGGAACTGTTGGATCTCTGAAGAAGCATGCCGGATTTTGGGGCTGTTGTTGAATCGAGAAGAGTTAATAACTGAAGCTCATCCGGATCGGAACTAAGGATCACCGGAACTAGACTCAAGCTCGCCAGAATATCATCTTGGCACACAGCTTGGTCTTCAATTATATGTATCACTTGAAGCACATCGATCTGTCAGCCTTTCTCTCGACTAAGCATTGATCTGGTGCACTGTTCACACATTCTTTCCTCAGCACCCAATGAATTTGCTTCAAAGCCACCTCTTTGACTCTATCCACAGGTCGATGCATGTCGTTGGGTCATGAAGCTTTGGTTGACCAAATAATTCACAACCGGATAGAATGGAGAATACAAGACCTAATATCAGATCTTGGATCACTGCTGCCATTTTGTTCATCATGTTTGACTCCAAAAATTAGTTGCATCCAGTCTATCAGAATGCATGGTCGATCACATCAAATTTTAAAACCCTTGGAATTAGGAACAACTGAGAAGCAAACAAATAGCAGTGATAATCAAGTACAAGTGTTAGTAGCTTTAGGCTTGTTGCCAAAACTATAGGTTGGGCTTATGGATATCAGGCTTATCAGTAAAGGATATTTCTTGGAAGGGGTAGCTTCAGACCAAGGCCAAATAAAAATTTATTGAATGATTTAATAATTTATTAACTTTTAATTATAGAATATTAGAAAGTAGCTCTAGAGTTTTATGGGAATTTTATACAGATAAAAATTAAATAAATTAAATAAATACATGCAATTTCTGTAAAGGTGATAGACAATAATCTAGGCCGCCAAAGACTTAGCTATTGTTTAGCCTCCATGTCCACGACCAAAGCCTAATTCAACCAACCCTAAGGAAGCTAGGCATATGAGATTCATGTGGCCGAAGTGAAATGCCAGAAAATAGGGCAAATTGTTGATAGAAGGTGGCCACAGATGTTCTTCTCTATATGGAGGAGCAATAATAAGCCTATAAATTTGGTGACCTCAAAGCCGATGGTATGGTTAATCCATTCAATGGGAGCACGCACAGACTGAACCAGAGTTTAGTTAGTCAATCAACATATATAAATAATATATGGATTGATGAAATAGAAAAAATAAAATAAAATAAAAATTAGAAGATTCCTATTAATGATTATTGTTGAACGAAATCAACTCAACTTCGGTTGATTTTTCGAAGGATGATTGTCACCAAACACTACTGTTCCCATAGACGGCGCCAACTGTTGATGCAAAAATCTGCACGATCTAGAGTCCGGAATGATTCCTTCAATACAAAAGAGAAGTGATGACCGGCAGCGTGCCGGCGGGTGCACTCCGACTGTCAAGTTAATACTTGATGACAAATAGGGAGAAGAAAAGACTCTTTGTATTTCATTTTTGGCGTACCTTTTGAGTTATCCGACTTTTCCTTTATAGGAGAATTAATGATAGTCGTGTTCACTTAGGGAATTGGTTCCCTTTATTTTTCCACCAAGGAGTGGAAGAGTTATTTTACATAGAAGTCATTCTTATCCCATCTATGTGTATCTTGGGATTTTGTGACAGCTAGACTTCTACTTGGGTTAATATTCCTTATCAGTTATATATGACCATTAAAACCATAGTACAAGTATGTCATTGAAATTCGGAAGAGAACTCAAGTTAAGAGTAATTTTATGCTCTTCAATTTTTAATCAAGGGGTGAACAGAATGCGTTTTAATTAGCATATACAATAAATGAGATGTACTAATTGTTTACCATCCAAAATCATCTGTGAAAAGAATCTAAATTAATCAGCGTATAGATCAGCCACAACGGAGTAAATATCCATCGTTGTACATCATTTAGGGTTCGATCAAAGTCTCCCCACCCGGTAAGAATGCAACATATCCCGGTTCTTGGAACGTGTGGGAATCAGGTCATTGAACATTCAAGACATACAACTACCACTTGACATCTAGTTAACAAAAGCAGTAGTAAAATACATCATATATATTTATATAATGACTTGGGCCTATAAATCATTATTCTTAGAATTGTTCATGTTGCTTGAACATTTTGCTGGCATTTTCATCTGAAATAATAACAGAAGGCATGGGATCGTGGCACAAGAGTTTGTAAAATCAAAACCCAAGAAACAATTTACAAGTTGTGTGATTCTTCGAGTAGCTCATCATTCTAAATTTTTTCCTTTACCGGTAAAAAGTACTCCCTCCGTCCCAATTTAGATGTCGCTTTTAGGGAGTAGAATTTTTTAAGGAAACATGTGGGACATGCCTTAAAAAATAATAAATAAAATAAAATAAAAATAATTTGGATGTCGCTTCTAGGCAGTAGAATTTGGGGTGGGTTAATACTATTAATTTTAGAGAGTAGAATTTGTTCATGTTGCTTGAAAATTTTACTATTACTAATATATTAGCCCAGCCCAAAAAAAAAATAATAAATAAAATAAAATAAAATAAAAATTAATAGTATTAACCCACCCCAAAAACGCAATGAAACCCAAATCAACTCAGCCACCATGCTAAAATAAAGGCCAAACCAAATAACCCCATGGATGGGCACTAGAAAAAAAAATTAAAAAAATTAAAAATTTAGGGCAAATCATTTCAAGCTTTTCAGCCTCGCACGTTCGGCTCCTTCAGATTTTAGGACAAATCATTTCAAATTTTTAGGCTTTTCTTTTCAGCCTCCCACGGTCCCACCCAACAAATTGGAATTGCTTTCATGATTCATACTTCAGACTCTAAGTATGAAGCACAAGTGCACGATTAATTGATATTCAAGGTAAGTCATAATTCATTTCTTCAATTATTCAAAATATATATATATATATATATATATATATATATATATATATATATATATATATTTTATTCCATATTTTTTTCTAAATAAAATTACTTAATATAGGGTTTGGTTAATTGGTTGATATATTTTGATTTAGGTAAATTACTTAAAAATTTAAAATTACTTGTTTTTCAAACTTAATATAGGTCAACAAATTGAATTGAATCGCACAATTTCTAATTGGATCTCCCTTTGCAGAAATTACTGAAGGCCAACGAATTGGAATTGCTTTCATCACTTTAGACTCTTAAGTATAAAGCATAAGTGCACAACAAATTGGATCATTGATATTCAAGGTAAGTCATTTCTTCATTTCTTCAATTATTCAATATATATATTTATATTTTTTATTCCATATTTTTTCTTAACAAAATTACTTAATATAGGATTTGGTTAATTGGTTGATATATTTTGATTTAGGTAAATTACTTAAAAATTTAAAATTACTTGTTTTGCAGACTAAAAAGTCTAAAATAGAATTAAACAAACAGCGCTTATGTTAATTTGGAAAAAGCAGACAAGCAGTGATACTGTGATAGAATGTTAAAAAGTAGAAACTACAGAAGCAGTGATAAAATGTTAAAAAGTAGAAACTACAGTCTACAGCCGTTAACTGGTCTTAACATGGTATTGGTTGATATATTTTGATTTAGGTATTTTTTATCTAACTCATTCTTTAATTTTAGTAGGTTAAATAATAATAGCTCAACATCAACCTCCAAATAAGAAAGTAAAAAGTATGTTTATTCTCTCATTCTATCGAAAGAAAGGCCAAATGAGTGATGATGGTCAATCGAAAAAGGATATACCTAGTGGTAGTGCATCTAATGTTGACGATGATTAATCGAAAAATGATATACCTAATGATATTATGTTATAATTTTTTATTTTTTATTTTTATTATTATTATTATTTTTTTGTTTAAGAAATTTTGGTGTTAAATTTATGTTTAATATTAGCCCACCCCAACGAGAAATGCTAGATCCCCCTTGCTTGTGGGGCTTCATGCTTTGTTTTGCAGCACTGCCGATGCTCAGATGATAAAGCTGGGACCAAATCGAGCTACAATGTATGTGGCATCCCCACCATCCATCCTGGATGACTCTTATCAACCAGCTTTTAAAACCCGTCTGTGCAGCGATTATACTACTACTAAAGGCTGCCAATTTGGAGAAAAATGCCATTTTGCCCATGGCATTTGCGAATTTGGAAAGCCTTTTTCTCTAACCTTTGGTGAAAGTCACCGTGCCATGGCTTCAGGACGTTTTGCTGGTAATCTGAGGCTACCTTTCTCACGTCGTCCCTTGAACATTAACAATGACCCACTCACTGCCCAAATTAGTGTAGATGCTTCCCTTGCTGGAGCCATCTATGGGCATGATGATTTGAAAACTACGCTGTGTCGTTTAGGAGTTAAAATATTCATCCAAGACACAAGTCAGGTGCTAATCTCAAGAACATTGAGCTTCAGGGCAAGTTTCAACAGCTCAAGGCTGCGAGTTCTCTGGTAATACAGCAGATCGAACGTATACGCATAGAGCTTCCGGGCAAGTTTTAACAGCCCAAGATTGCGAGTTCTCTGGTAATAGAGCAGATCGAACGTATACGTGGATCTCCCACCTACAAAATTTAACTGTGAGGGGAAAGGTATTTATGGTATTTGAATTAGTACTATTTTCTGGTTTGCTTGTGTTGTTTCTCAAACTTTGATATCTCGGATTGTAGTTTCCTTTTTTCTTTTTTCCCCTATTGTCAATGTTTTTTGTGCTTCTGTGTTCTGCTTTAAATGGATGCTACTGTTGTAGATTAATTTGACCCATGATCATGCTGCACTAGTTGAAATTTAAAGCCATGTGCTATTCCCTGCTTCTGTATATGGGCAGTCATGTTTGTCCTATGCAATAGAATATAACCATGGATTGTATAGGTTTTGAATCACCATTTTAATCTGATAGAAGATAGGATTACCATCAGAGTCAAATCAGACAATGCTCAAATAAACTTTTTGGGGATCCCAGGGAGAGAAGAAATGCTTTGTTATTTGGCATTTTCGTGAGTTTGATGAATTTAGTTGAGCTAACTATTGGCACTCTATATAATTTTTATTTGCCGAAAAATAGAAGTATGGACAATGTTTTGGAAAAATAATATTTTGTTTTCTGAATTCTTGAGTTTTATTTTTATTTCAAATCATTAGTATTCCTTTTTCTTCATGCTGTCACTTTTTGTTTCAGAAAGGGTAACTTGCACAAAAAACCCTCCTAAGTGATAAAAAAAAAACTTATTCCCAACAATAAAATAGGTAAACTGCAATCGCGTGGCCATTAAATACCCTTGGGCTTTGGTTAGGTGGAATCAACTAGAAAAGAAAGGAAAACGAAATGTTTTAAATTTTTTTAAAGTTTGGATAGAAGGAAGGAGAAGCGTATAAGAAAATGTAGTTTCTAGCAGTTGCCTATTTTCACCCAAAATTTTCCTGCGGAAATAATATTTTCATGTGAAAAGAGTTCATTTTTATTCAATATTCCTATTTTATCCAAAAAAAAAATTAATAGTGCAAAACAACTTGCCAAAAAAAGAGGCAACTTATTTAGTGGTTTCTTTCTTTGTTTTTTATTGGGTATCTTTGTGTGCGTGGGCCATAAACTATATAGTTGGGATCATGGGGCTCATCATCTAACCCTTTTTTTTTTTTTCAATATTTGTCTGATATAATACTTTATAATAATACACTTGGCAACAATAATATATAATTTGACAGAAAAAAAAAAACAGCATATAATCAAATTTTTTTTTTTTTTTTTAATTTGCTTAGACTTGATTAACATCCTGCGAGTATGAGCGCCTTTGGACGCAATTGGAGGCAGTTCAAGATCATGTTTAAAAGGTGTATAGATTTTTTCGCCAAGGTGGAGATTGTTGACAAATTTAGAGTTACAAATTTAGAGTTGCAAAATTAGAATTGAAGTTGGCTCAAAATATGTCATCGCTTACATCATCAGTTGCATATGTCATCGCTTACATCAACAGTTGCATATGTCATCGCTCACATCAGGCTTTGCTTACATCATTGCTTACATCATCAGGGGGATTTGTTGGCTGTAAATAACCCTTGTATCTAATTCTTTCAAATCATTCGAAAATCATCCAAGAGCATTCAAGTAAGGATCGATTCGGATCAAGAAGAGAGAGTTTGAGTGAGCAAAGAGAGTTTGGAGAAAATAATATTTATTTTCTCAGTTGTGAGCCTTTTGTAACCCTTTGGTTTTTGATATTAGTACATTGATCTTGAGCTCCCGTGGACGTAGGCACATTGCCGAACCACGTAAATCTTTGTCTTCCTTTTGTGCGTGTGTTTTCTCCTATTTATTATTTTGTGAGTGTATTCTTCTTGTGTGTGTGATCATAACCACCATTATTTATTTGTTGGGCCCACGCTTCCGCATAACAAATTGGTATCAGAGCACCACGGTTCGGTTCTTTTGGGTGATTGTGATCGTTGAAACAGAAGATGGCAACCGCAAAATTTGATATTGAAAAAGTTAATGGGCGCAACAACTTCAGCATGTGGCAATGCGAAGTTATGGATGTTCTCAACAAGATTTAGACACTGCTCTGGGGAGGAGAAACCAGAAGAAATGAAGGAAGAAGATTGGAAAAAGATCAATTGTAAGGCTTGTGGTCAAATTCGGCTTTATCTCGGAAAGGATCAGAAATATCCTTTCATGCATGAAGTTTCAGCAGACAAGCTTTGGACGCAACTGGAGGAGAAGTATATGACAAAGAGCATTGAAAATCGGCTCTATTTGAAGAAGAAGCTCTTCCAGTTTGATTATAAAGAATGTATGTCTATGTCCATGCATCTGGATAATTTTAACAAAATTCTTGTCGATTTGCAAAATTTGGATGTTAAAATTGATGATGAAGATAAAGCATTATCATTGTTGAACTCTTTGCCTGATTCGTATAAACATTTGATTACCACACTGCTGTATGGAAAGGAAGAAATTAAATATGTTGATGTCTCTAATACCCTCATGAATAATGAGCTTCGCAAGAAGGATAAGGAGGTTAATAAAGACTCAACAGCTGAAGCTTTAACAGTACGTGGTAGAACAGATTAGAAAAAGTCTGGTAGTCGTGGAAGATCTCAATCCAGATCAAGAGGAGCATCAACTTTGGGCAAGAAAAATCTTGCTAAAAATGAATGTGCCTTTTGTCATAATAAAGGGCATTAGAAGAAGGATTGTCTTAAATTGAAAAACAGGGATGACAAGAAGATTGCCGCCAACATTGTTAGTAGTGACGATGAAACTACAGAGTTTGCTTTGACTGTATCAGTTGGATCCAATTCTCATGATGCATGGATCTTGGATACGGGTTGTTCCTATCACATGTGTCCCAACCGGGAGTGGTTCTCCAGTTTCCAGGAGCTGGACGGTGGAGCTATTTTCATGGGTAATGATTATGCCTGTCAAACAAGGGGGATAGGAAAGATCCGTTTGAAGTTGCACAATGGAACAGTCAGAGTTCTCGAAGATGTCCGATATGTACCGGATTTGAAGAAAAATCTCATCTCACTTGGATCATTGGTAGTAAAAGGTTATGAGATCACGCTGAAAGGCGATGGTCTAAAGGTGACTTATGGAGCTCTAGTTATGATGAAGGGTACGAGAAGAATAACTTGTATTTTCTCCTTGGAAATATAGTTACAGGCACAGTAGCTATTGCAGACAGTTCAAAGGGAGATGAATCAGATGCTACCAGATTGTGGCATGTACGCTTAGGACATGCAGGTGAGAAGGCTTTACAGGGACTAGTGAAGCAGGGTCTATTGAAAGGTGCCATGACTTGCAAGCTTAGATTTTGTGAACATTGTGTTCTAGCCAAGCAGACAAGAGTCAAGTTTGGCACAGCAGTATACTGCACGAAGGGAATACTTGACTATGTTCACACAGATGTTTGGGGACCTACCAGAGTTGCATCGTTGGGAGGTAAGCATTGGTTTGTCTCATTTGTTAATGATTTCTCTAGACAAGTATGGGTGTACACCATGAAACATAAAGATGAAGTCTTAAAAGTGTTCTTGAAATGGAAGAAGATGATGGAGACCCAGACTGGCAGAAAAATCAAAAGACTCAGATCCGATAATGGCGGTAAATACACATCGGATCCATTCTTGCAAGTATGCCAGGACGAGGGTATAATTCGACACTTTACAGTCAGAAACACGCCACAACAGAATGGGGTGGCAGAACGCATGAATCGAACCTTATTAGAAAATGTTAGATGTATGTTGTCCAATGCTGGATTGGGTAAAGAGTTTTAGGCTGAGGCTGTGACATACGCATGCCATCTCATCAACAGGTTGCCTGCAGCTGCGAACGTGATACCCTTCAGATCCGAGACACAGGTTGATCAGGCCCAGACCTAATCCCAAGGGAAATATCAAACAATTAATATTTTATAACGAACAAAGATGACAAAATGAATTTAAGAAATAAAGTTTAAGCTGAAAGAAACTAAAATAAAATCCTCAAATATTAAAGATTGAATAATCCAACTTCAAAACCTCCTATGGTACAACTCAGGAATCCATCTCTAGTAGACCCCTAATAATAATCCAAACAGTAATAAATAAAAAATAAAAAATAAAAAATAAAAAAGATAACTGATAAGACATCCAGAAGTAAGCTACGAAGAGAAGTCCTATATCGTCGGTAGAGTGAATAGAAACCTCTGCTCAACACAAACACGTCTAAGTCTGGAACTGTTATGTACCTGAAAAAAATAGAAGTGGGTCAGGCCCACGCGCAAGCTTTATACTATTACAATCTAAACAGAGGCCCGATACGCATGTACATCCTAAACAATCCAACAATAGCTAATAGTTCGTAAGTATATATATATATAATCACACTAAAGGACTCTCACTGGCCTACAGGCTGGTCTCAACCTGAATAGAGGTAACATGCTAAAACGCACACAAAGTGAGCATGTGTACCTAACCTAAACAGGGTACACCTCCAACCATCGTAGCCAGCTATGCATCCCAATGCATATACGTTCCCTAACCAACGACTCTGAGACTCAGGCTCATATCGTAACACCATAAAAATATATTTAAACTCCATTCAAAACCAAAAGTGTCAATCAACTATTTAGTGATCTGACATAAAAATACAGGAAGGACTTAACTTTTGTAGTTAATCCATTCTTTAATCCAGAGTAGGTAGGACTTAGCATTTTTGAGCTAATCCCACTAGTATGACACTGTCCCATACCGGTGCTTACAATCCATCCATCCAGCATTGATAATATAAATGACAGTAAATATCAACATATCCAGTTCAAGCACAACAAGAATATTTAAATAGCATGCTTGTTTAATACATCCAGTATATGATCTCTAATGAATTTAAAATACAGAGATTAAATATAACCATCCTGTAACCCACAATAAGCATAATATCAATAATAACATCAGAATTAAATACTTACTATAACTACC